GAAAAACAAAATCAAAACAGATAGACAGTAACTCAGAAAAGAACAAATAAAGTAAACAAATACACAACACCCAGCTGTGATCAATCCCCTTCATCCCTGTACCTCGTGAAAATCAAATTTTTGTACATCTTCTTAAAACACTTCATACTTGGACATCCCTTGATCTCCTTACTCAAACTGTTCCACCGCTTCACCCCACAAACAGAAATACAAAAACTCTTCTTTGTTGTGCGCACCCTATAATTTTTGAAATTAAATAAACCCCTTAAATTATAACTCCCTTCTCTTTCAGTGAACAGTTTTGAATACTATGTGGTAGTTGATTATTTTTTGCTTCGAATAATATTTGTGCCGTTTGAAAGCCCACCAGATCTGCGAATTTGAGTATTTCTGACTGTAGAAATAATGTATTTGTATGATCCAGGTAACCAGCCTTGTGAATAATCCTTATTGCTCTTTTTTTGGAGGATGAATAATGAATGTATTGTATTTTTGTAATTATTGCCCCATACCTCTGCACAGTAACTTAAATAAGGTGAAACCAGTTAACAATAAAGAATCCGGAGTGAATTGTGATCTAGAAACTGTTTGGCTTTGTTTAATATTGCTATACTTCTTGATACTTTGGAATGTATGGTTCTTATATGTGGTTTTTCATCAATAGTTGTTCCAAGAAATTTGATTTCCTTAACTCTTTCTATAATAACCCCATCTATTTGAATAATTATTTGTGTGTTTGTCTTGTTGTTACCAAATAATATTACTTTGGATTTGTTCAAGTTTAATGATAATTTGTTAGTGTTGAACCATATTTTTAATTTACTTATTTCTGTTGTGATGTCCTGCAATAGTTCCCTTTGCTGCTGCTCTCCCTACTTTAGTCTTTCCACTTAGGCATGTGGAAGAGGCTCTCTGCATAGGCCTAGGAAAGAGAGACCCCGGAACAGAGCCATACCTCCAGATATAATATGGCAAATGGAAATAAAGTTTTCTTTGACTAAAGTGGACCTGACTAAACATCAGTTTAGTAGCTGTTCTTGATGTAAGGTTTCTTCTTAAATTCTTCTTGTATGGTACAGTTTTTCTAAAGAAAATAATCAGACCCTGACTCTGTAAGTAACTCAACAGATAAGACAGGATTTCAGGATGTCTCTTGGACACAGCTCCTGGACAGTATGTCCCAGTAACCATGACACAGGTGGACCTTTTTTTAGTTTGCAGAGGATATCGAGACAGTTTTGGCATTTTCAGCTGCTCAGTCTCGAGCACTCCTTATATGACAAGTTGTCAGTGTCCCATGATCTCTGTGCAGATAATGTGGCTTTTCTGATCAAAAACATTTCATGGGAACAGCTGAATACAGTTTATTATTTGGCATTACAATTGCTACACTACAAGCTCATCACTACAGTCACACATATTTGGCATTTTGAAGATGTCCAGAAGAGAAAAGAACGGTTTGGGTGTTTGTAATGGAGCGATATTGATCTGACCTGCACTGACGACAGTCTTTGGGGAACTCTAGGATAAAATATCAGATAGGAGAGGAACTGATACAGAAATACAATCCAACAAACATTTCACACCAGTTACTACTGGTATTTTATACAGAATATCAATGACCTGCAAAACCAAATCCCTTGTAGAATATCACTTGCTGTAGAAAGCTTTGTATTGACAAGCACGAAGACTAAGAGGCAACATGTCAGCTACAAAATAACATCCCACAACCACCGTCCATGAGCAGGACATGCAGTGAGAGACATCAGCATTGGCAGTCTTCAATGAACTACCTTACAGTACATTATAAAGGTGTTCCTGATTATGTTCTGTCAGCTGTACTGGTGCTCTGCTTCCCCCTACAGGTGTACTGAAGGAGCTGACCTGTTCACGTTGTTTTCCTGTGCTCAGCTTGTTTCACAGACTTAATAAAGGTTATGAGCTGAAATGAACTCAGCAGTACTGGTTGTTGTGAGGTGTGGTCACTGGAGTGTTGCTGCATTGAGAGTGAGATCATGCTAAATGTATACAGGTTCATGGTAAACAGAAAAAATAGCATTTCAATAACAATATATACTTTATCAGATATATTAAAGTATTTGCAATACATTTATTTTTATATTACTGTCTAAAGCTTAAAAATGAGAGCAAAATATAAAGATTCAGAATACAATAAGTTTATTGTCATATGCACTGTAAACACACAGCAGTTTACATCATATAATAAAATTCTCAATTGCCAGTCTCCTTTCACACAAAACACAAATAATATCAGAATAAAAGTTAGATTTTAATTAAATTATTGTTTTGCAAATCGCTAATTTGCTAACAATCTCAACTCACAGGGAAAAGATTGTATGTTGACTTGAAGACTATGTTGTCAGTACTGTTCCCACGTTTAACAATGAACTTGAACTCACACTCATGAAAACACATTTATTCATGTTTTTACAACAAGGCTAAAAGCTCTCATAATGATTTATTAGCACTGATATTTTTAACAATGTCAAGTAAGACAATTTGTTTTTTCTTATGGATACAGTCAGAGCTTCATGTTTTTAGTTTGCAGTAATTACAGCCTAATGTCATTCTGAATGAAGTCACAAGTGTTTGCGTATTATTTGAGCTGTAATCTGTAATCTGTAACCTAACTGTGAGTACAACAGTATTAAGGGACTACGTGGCTCAACATTAAATAAACTTAATTAAGTTGTGATCTGTTTTATGAAAAAAAAGAAAAAAAGCTCTGTCATCAACTCCAATTCCTCTGCTGTACCATTAAAGCATTGGCTACCTCACCTCTGACCCTGTGCTTATTAATAAATTCCAACTTTCTGAATTGTTTATGTAGGGAAAACTGACAAAATATGAAATCTTCTAACAGTGTAAATATCTCTTATTTTCCCTGTCTCTTCAGGAGTGGCCATTAGCAGCTATGCTAAATACTGCTACAGGAAACTGACAAAAGCTGCTCTGACTGGTGCCAAGAAGGTAAGCAGCTCTGTGTCATGTTGTTGTTTCTGCCGAGATCAGGCTGGTGTCGATTTATATATTTCTTTTTATTGTAACTAAATCCAATGAAAAGAGAAAAAACAACATGTTTGTCCTTTTCAATACTTTATGACTTTTCTACACTGTCTGTGACTCACGCCCACTGGTTCCAAAGACATTCATTTTTAAAAACAGCTCACAAATGTATAGCTTCATTCAAAGAAAGGCTTGGACATTTTCTAAAACATCTGGTTACTAAAGTTTTAATTAAACATTTCTCAAACTGGAGGAAATAGTGCATTTCTTTATGACTATTTTCAGTGGCGGATATATCAGGCTTTGAGTCACATAGTACTTGCCAGTAGGATCAGTCTGTTGCTTGTTTGGGTTTGGTTTGATAAATGATTGGTTTGATCTAATTATCACCACACTTTTTCTTTAAAAGAAGGAAAATGAGCTCATATATCCATTATTCCTGTAGTTGTTGGGGATGACAGTGTCCCAACATGCAAATATACAAATATACATGTTTCATTGACAGTTTTGCATTTGTAAGAGGAGGTAATATACTGTGTGTACACAGAGGCATTTAGACTGTCTTCAGTCTCCTGCATGCAGTGAGGATTATAAGGGAATATTATTGATCAATCAATCAATCCTCAATCAATCAATCAATCAATCAATTTTATTTATAAAGCCCAATATCACAAATCACAGTTTGCCTCACAGGGCTTTACAGCATACAACATCCCTCTGTCCTCAGGACCCTCGCAGCGGATAAGGAAAAACTCCCCCAAAAAAACCCTTTAACGGGGAAAAAACGGTAGAAACCTCAGGAAGAGCAACTGAGGAGGGATCCGTCTTCCAGGATGGACAGGATGTCGTACAGAACAGATCAACATGATAAATTAACAGTAAACTGTATTATGCACTACCCAGGTGAATTAGAAATCTTGTTGGGAGGATCTTGTCCCAGTTCTCAAACATGTTTGCTGCAGTCATGGTTGACAACTTGTTAGCAATGTGGTGTGGTGATGTGGTTACAGGTGTGGGAGTGTGTGAGAAGACGAGCAGCAGAATTCTGCATGTATTGTTGAGTGTTTCTGATGATGGACCATGGAGGAGACTATTGCAGTAGTCCAGTCTAGAAGTGATGAATGCATAAATGAGAGTCTCTGCAGCTGACAAGGAGAGGGATGGATGGAGGCGGGCAAAGTTTCGGAGATGGAAGAGGGCTGTTTTAGTGATGTGTGTTGTAAAAGGAGAGGGTTTGATCAAAGATGACACCAAGGTTATGGGCATGGGGGGAGATGAGCACAGTGGAGCCATTGAAGGAGAGGGAGAAATCATGGGTGGATTTGAGAAGAGATTTGCCATTGATGATGATGACTTCTGATTTGTCAAAGTTAAGTTTGAGGAAGTTGGTTTGAAGCAAGGACTTTCAGTGATGCAGTTGGTGAGGGTAGAGTGAGTGACAGCATTGCTGGAGATGTGGAGCTGCATGTCGTTGGTAAAGCAGTGAAACTGAAGTCTGGATTATCTGACGCCGGATTTTTTGACCAAGGGAAAGACTGTACAGGATGAAAAGGAGGGGGCCGAGAACTGAAACTTGGGGAACACCATGGGAGAGCGGAGCAGTGGGGGATTTACAGTTGTTTATGCTGATAAACTGACATCTGTCAGTGAGGTAGGATTTGAGCCAGGAGAGTGCAGTGCTCTGTCAGGTTTTAAGGCAGGAGAGAATGATGGAATGGTTGATGGTGTCTAAAGCTGCGCTAAGGTCAGGTAGTATGAGCATGTTGAGATTGCTGGCATCAGAGGAGAGGAGAAGGTAATTTGTGACTTTAAGGAGGGCAGTTTCAGTGGTGTGGTGGGAACAGAAACTAGACTTGAATGAATCATAGAGGTTACTGGCAGAGAGGTGGCTTTGAGATGTAAAGCAACAGCACGTTCCAGTAGTTTTGATAGAAAGGGGTGGTTGGAAATAGGTCTGTAGTTGTTTGGAAGGAGAGGACAGTCATGAGAAGTTTTCTTTGAAAAAATAAATAATTTGTACCCTGGGTTTATCTGTCTCCCTCATGCTCAGAAACTGTACTTTCTATGTGGAACGTGAAATACTACCTGCAAAATATGTGGACTGTTGCCACACATTGAGAAAAAGTTAAGTTGTAAACGTTTCTGAGGGATTACATCTGTAAAATAATTTGTGTATTCAACATGTATTTGGGCGGCACGGTGGTGTGGTGGTTAGCACTGTCGCCTCACAGCAAGAGGGTTGTCGGTTCAATCCCGGGTGTGGGAGCCCTTCTGTGCGGAGTTTGCATGTTCTCCCCGTGTCAGCGTGGGTTCTCTCCGGGCACTCCGGCTTCCTCCCACAGTCCAAAGACATGCAGATTGGGACTAGGTTAATTGATAACTCTAAATTGACCGTAGGTGTGAATGTGAGCATGAATGGTTGTCTGTCTCTATGTGTCAGCCCTGCGATAGTCTGGTGACCTGTCCACGGTGTACCCTGACTCTTGCCCGATGTCAGCTGGGATAGGCTCCAGCCCCCCCCGCGACCCTCAAGAGGATGAGGCGGTTAGAAGATGAATGAATGAATGAACATGTATTTGTTATCTTATAATTGTCTATTTAGTTGTCCTGTATTGAACATATATAACTTATTAATATGTAATTTAGCTTTGGCAATAATGTAACTTAAACATTCATACAAATAAAGTTAATTTTAATTTGACTTTGCATACCCATGGTTATATTGTACATGTCACATATGAGTGTGTGTGTGTGTGTGTGTGTGTGTTGGCAGGCAGGCAGGCAGGCAGCAGCTTGGCTCAGAGCCTGTGTAACATGTAGTGCCAGAATCTCAGCAGCTCCCTGACAGAGATCATTTGTCACTTTTAGGACTCTACAGTGTTTGGCTGGTGTTAACCTGCTAACCTCTGACAGCACAGTAATGAGCTGCGTGTCCTGTGGATGGACAAGTGTTTTTCTCACTGACATTTGAATATTCGACTGCACTGTCCTCTCCTCCTACTGCTCACCTGCCCTGCTGTATTAACATGAACTCTTGTGTGTGTGTGTGTGTGTGTGTGTGTGTGTGTGTGTGTGTGTGTGTGTGTATGTGTTTGCGTGTGTTCAGGGCCTGCAGAAGCCTAGTCTGGAGGAGATCAAGCACGCCAGGAATGCCATCTTCAGTCCCTCCATGTTTGGCTCCTCCCTGGATGAGGTGATGGCGCTTCAGAAGGAGAGGTATCCGGACAGCCAGCTGCCCTGGGTGCAGACTCGCCTCTCTGAAGAGGTGCTGGGTCTCAATGGAGACCAGACAGAGGGCATCTTCAGGTGAGTGGAGAATTATTATTAAGCCTTAATTCATGACCATCATGAGTGTGAAGAACTGACGCCCTTGACTCTAACTGTTGAATCCTGCTCTACATAAAGTGTATCAATGATTTTTGGTAATGCAGTTGTCATGAATCAAAGTCAAAATAACAGTGAGGAAGTGCTGGCCTGGCAATTACTGTGGTTCCACATTGTGAAGTAACAAGAAATGATTGTTTGCACCTATATACTAATTTTTACTGGCTGTGTCTGCCTCTCCTGTGCTCCATTTAAACTGCGTCCCCAAGCACAAGCGATTCACAGGAAACATGATGTGGAAGACAAAAGCCAGTGTTAGACAACATTGTTGGCTGCCTTTTGTAGTCTTCTTTACTACAACAATGATGAATCCTGTCAGCACACTGAGCTTTAAACTGTTGTATTTCTAGATTAGCTCTTCAAGGTGTGTTTGCTGCCTGCAGTGGTCCATACACGTCATTCCAACAAAACTACATGCAAAACTATTTTTATGCCTCCACACTGGCAATAGCTGTGGCATTATGTTTTTGGGCTGTCTGTCCGTCCATTCGCAAGTCTGTCCTATTCTCATGACTGCGATATCTCAAGAATGCCTCAAGGGAATTTGAGTCCACTTGGACTCAACAATGACCTGATTAGATTTTGGTGGTTGAAAAGGCAGAGTTCCTGTGACCTTGTCCATCTCATTTTTGTGAACGCAATATCTCACCCTAAGGGAATGTTTTTTGGGTTTTTTTTTGGCACAAAACGTTACTTGGACTCAACAGTGAACTAATTATAATTTGGTGGTCAAAGGTCACTGTGACCTTGCTTTCATCGTGTTCATCTCTCGTGAACAAGATATCTCAAGGACGCCTTAAGGGGGTTTTCTCAAATTTGGAACAAACATCCACTTGGACTCAATAATGAACTGATTACATCTTGGTGGTCGAAGGTAAAGCTCACTGTGACCTTGCATCTGCCTCATTCTCATGAATGCAATATCTCAAGAACACCCTCAGGGAATTTCTTCAAATGTGGCACAGATGTCCACTACATGGATGAATTGATTAGAATTTAGTGGTCAAGGGTCAACATTTTTTTGGTCATAACTCAAGAATTCATACACTAATTATGACATAATTTTACAGAAATTTCTAATAGAATAAAAATAATTAAGTGATGCCATTCAGTATCCAAAATGTCAAAGGTCAGTTTCACCGTGACATCATAATGCCCTGCAAAAACACTTTTCTGACCATTATTCAACGTCGTATCTCAGAAATAGAAAGACATTTGGTCAGATACTGAATTGGTGACACTAATCTTGGGTGTCCACCTTGAAACTGTGCTGATTGTATAGATCTTCTGTGCTGCTGGGGGAAAGATGTGTGTGAAGCATCCATGTTCATGGAGGCATACAACCACAAGGTGATAATTGTAGTTCTGTTTTTGTTGTTTTATTTTTGGCCACTTGGGAGCAATGGAAAGTTGCAAACACATTAATGACATATCAGAAACCAGGGTTTAAAGATATACAAAGAAGAGGAGACTGGGATGAAAGATGAGGGGCTGAAATGTAACCAGCCTGTAACCTTTGACTTCCAGGGTACCAGGGGACATAGATGAAGTCAATGCCCTCAAGCTGCAAGTGGATCAATGGAAGATCCCCACAGGACTGGAAGACCCACACATCCCAGGTTAACACAAACTGTTGGAGAGAACTACTGAGCACACATGAACACATTGAGATCTCTGCTGGTCTTCTGCAGACCTTGATCTGCTTTCATATAGCTGTCATGTACAGGAAGTTGGTGTCATCGACATGAGCAGAATCACTCACTGAGTCCTCACATGCAGTGTAACATTAGTGTAGCAGAGTAAATGTTCAGATGGCTTCCTTTGATTATTGAATAGGTTTTAGATGTATTTTCAAGGCGGTCTCATGCTGCCTCTGTGTCTTTGTGTCCCCAGCGTCTCTGCTGAAGCTCTGGTACAGGGAGCTGGAGGAGCCACTGATCCCTCATGAGTTTTATGAGGAGTGTATCAGTCACTATGATAACCCAGAGGCAGCTGTTAATGTGGTGCTGGGCCTGCCACACATCAACAAACTGGTGCTCTGCTACCTCATCCGCTTCCTACAGGTAACACAGACAGACAGACACACACACACGGTTTACACAGCCTATACTAAATCCTAAAGCAAATGTAATCAAGTCACAATCAAAATCAAATCAATCAAACAAGCACATTCCCAAAAAAAACCTCTCTCCATGCATTAATATGTTTCTGACACATTTAAAGGGTGAGTTCACCCAAATTACTGTCCAAAAAACCCAAAGACGGCAACAATCAGCAAAGCGGGTCTTCTCCAGACTTTGATCCTACGATGTGATCCTAGTGCGATGTCTACATTGCAGGAGCTGTGATAATTTGATATAAACAAAATGTATCACAGCATACCTTTATATATAAAGCACTGTGGTGGTACAGAGATGCCCTGGTCTACAAATCACATTCCAGATGTAAGGGAACATGCTTGTTTTGTACAGATCCCAGCAAAAATCACATCATTATGATATTTATATTTTTTCAGTGAAAATGAATGCAAAAAAATAACCATTCCCACAAAATCATGAGTCATATTGCTGTTTCATTATTTGCCACAATATTCACAATATAATCTTTTATGCATATCATGCACGCTAAAATTACTGTTTATTTAAACAGAGCTATGGCAATGGCAATTTTAGGGCTGTTTCTGGTTAAACAAAAAGGACCTTTCTCTTTAACAAACGGTCAAGCTCTGTAGGGATCCTTTCCTAATGATGTCAGACATTTAGAATAATAATCTGAACATGCCAGAGGCAAAAACAAGCACTTCTAGTGAATGTAAATTGACGATGAGAACAAGACGCAAGTTTTGACATTGGGGTCTGTTTCCCAGCTGCTGCGCTCTCACTCAATACTGGACCAATTTTTGAAATTACGAGTGGGGCCTTATGAGCACAAAATAGGGAATGGGAAAATAGGGTCCAGGTTGAAAAATACCAAATTTACCCTTGGGCAAATACCTAAGGTTCAGATCAAAATTGCTAAAGTGGCATCTTAAACACCACAACAGGAACCATTAAAATGTCTTTAAATGTCTTAAATCTGTCTTGAGGCAACCTTTAGAATACTCTGCTGTACATTGTGTGTTCAGGTATTTGCCCAGCCTGCCAATGTGGCCATCACCAAGATGGATGTGAACAATCTGGCCATGGTCATGGCTCCCAACTGTCTGCGCTGCCAGTCCGACGACCCCAGGGTGATCTTTGAGAACACCCGCAAAGAGATGTCCTTCATCCGGGTGCTCATCCAGCGGCTGGACACCAGCTTCATGGATGGAATCCTATAGCCCCCCCACCACACACACACACACACACAGACACACACAGACACAAACTATCCATACTTTACCCCCAGCTTCCCCAACAATCCCTTTAACCCACTTCATGACAGGCCCCTACACACTCCCCCAGCACAGGAACATCATACATACACATTGTTGCTGCTGGGTGAATACCTTGCCTCTCCAACATGTTTACTTTTCTGGAACTAACAAAACTGCCTTGTTTTGGAGTTTGACCACTGTACATTTTGAGTTGAACCAGCTGTATTTTCTATTTCTGTAGACATAGTCCTTGAACTGACATTGACATGAGAAAAACACCACTATTGGAGTTCCAAGGTTTTCATATGCTAACAGTACTGTGTGTGCCTTCACATACATAATACCGTATACACATACAGTATGAAGGAATTAGCAGGGATCTCATCATTCAGTTGGATTCATGTTAGACTCACTGGCACACTCACACTTCAGGACCGCAAAGGTTCATTTCACATCCAAATTATTTGTTTCCCCCTGCTTAAACACACACGCACCGTCACATACAAAATAGACACACATATTACACACACATATTAGTACATGCACACACTTGTATTGAAAGTCTTGCTCCAAGATTCCACCTTCTGCAGTGTACAATACCATATTAACACACAGCAATATTTATCACTGAGGTGAATGATGCATTCATTAACATGACACACACACAGTTCTGCCACAGGTGTTCAAGACTCTCACACATAAACAATGCATTCATAGCACCAGATTTTCACAAGATATAAAGCCTAACTGCACAATTCCATCAGTATTTTAATATATCATATTAATCTGGCAAGATTTTAACGGCCTGTGTGTCACACTGCCACAACTTAGACGGAGCTGAAAACTCAACACAGAGGCTCCTGTTTGCCTCAAGATGGCAAACTTGTGCTGTCTAAATGAGAAAACATCCAACAAGACACAACATTTAATGTGAAACATAGCTTCACCCTGTTAGTCAGGTGTTTCCTGCCAATAACCTGACTTAAAACAAGTGTAGTTGTAAAGGAAGACAGGGATAAGGTGGGAGCCCTGTTGGTCACTAAGCCATCGAGTGAGGAGAACATGAACACTAAATCACCCTGAGTTTTGTTTGGACTTAAAGGTTTTAAAGCTTCCATCATGTTGGGTTCATGGACAAATAAGCATAGACTTTGCTCAAATTGTTAGTATATTCTAGAAATGTTAAAGGTATATTATGCAGGGTGTCTATTACTGTTTGCAAACACATTCGCCAGTGCAAGTTAAAGCCAACCTCAGATTCATTCTCGTTTGGCATTTTGCCTGGCTATATTTGTGTCTCTTGGATGCCTGCTGCTTACAGTCCAACACCTGCTTGCTACCTTTTTATAAAGTCATGATCTCACCTGAGTGCTGTGGGAGTACACAACCATAAACTTCCCAAACCCAGAAAACAAGAAAATCTAGACAGAAGGCAGATTCTCTGCAGATAAATACACCACAATACCATTCTACTGGGTTATAAACAGGCCCAAAGCAGCAGTGATCTGAAATGAAAATCTGTGGAATTCTGTGCAATGTTTTGTTTTTTTTTTTTTTGCTCGTTATGTGATAAACAATATTCATTTATGATAACAATTGTTTTTGAACAAAAATAACCTCACACAATACATTAAAACCTAAAATTACCGAAAGCAGGTTAAAAGAACTACCTGGTGAATTTTAGTAGAAACTTTCAATCAAATTTTATTTAATCAGAAATACTTCAAAAAATATGTAAACATTTGTTGGAAAAGTCAATCAAACAAAATGTGGGACACATGGCCATTGAATTGGATGGTTCAATATGGAGCAGAGAGTGAGAGAAATTAATTTGCCAGTCTATTAACAGCAAGTCTTATTTTGGCAATTCTTCTCTACACCACTTACTTTGATTTTAAAGCTATCTGAATACAACACACAATTGTCACACACATGCACAAGGAGGTGGAGGGGACAGTGACAACATTCTGAGTTTTACTGGCAGCGTCTATATTTTGAAAATCTGCGGAAAATCTGTGGAGCTCTGGGGCACTGATTCTGTATGGGCCTGCTTATAAGTGGTGATTTAGAGAAATTACTTCTGTTTGAGTCTAAACAGTTTTCTTTTAGGAAAATCCTGTATAATATATCGTTAGGTATTTAAACAAAACATACTCAACACATTATATTGTCAGAGTGGGTTGTCACTCTTCCTACCTCGTAAGTAAGGACCTCTGGCTGCACAAGTTATTTCAGTCAGAGTCTTGAAAAGTAAAAAAAAAAAAAAAAAAAAAAAAAAAAAAGTATGAAATTGAGTCTTATTAGATTTTAGATTTACAAAAGTCTAGTCTATAGAAAAGTCTGATACTGTACTCTCTCTTGCCAGCTGTAGGCAGTAATGTTAGTTATAACATATTTTTGCAGGCTGTTAAACACCTGCAGACGAAAGGTTCTATTGTTCTTACAGTGGACTGTACTGTAGCAGGCTGTCCAATCCTGTTTTATGGAGTTTTAGTCAGCACCATGACACCTGTAACAGACACTGTCATGACTGCAAGCCTTAGTATAACATGGAAGCTCATCAGCTCATAATGAGAAAGTGTTGATTTCATAATGAATTTTTAATAAGTTGATTTATCCATTCATTTTCAAGGTGTAGCTTGTGTTGATTAATTTACATGCTAAATCTTGCTGAGAGGCAGACACTGCAGCCACCCACAAGTGACAGTTATGGTGGATGCTAAAACACAGGAACACTAAGAGAACGATCATAAGTCATCAAACTGACTCAGTGATATCCGGTATGCAGAACAATCTAAGTCTGGTAACATTAGCCACCATGAGCTACTGCTCCTACCAAAGTGTGAAAAACTGTAGCAGACAAACCTTTGAGTGTATGAGATTAAGCTACAGTGTGTTTTTTGCTCATGAGTTGAAATGTCATTTGTAAGGAGATGTGAAATTACTTTTCTCAAAAGTTCCATACTCTTGATTTTATACACACACTACAGTAAGAGTAGTGCTATTACATTATACTGATTGTGAAATACTGTACAAACCAGCAATTGCTATAGTTATCTGGTATGCAGCACTGGAGACAGTAACCACGGTCTAGGTGGATTTCGGTGTCCATGTTCTAATCACTTAACACATGGAAGGCCAGTTTAGTTTCTCCTTACTGGCTGAAAATGTGCTAACAGGAAATAAGCCAGCAACACTTGCCTTGGCTCTGGCAGATGATGGCCTGTCTTTGAATGAAACATATAAACTGATCTCACAACAGTTTTATATTCTTTAGCATTAGATCATCTTGAGGAAATCTGGTGGTGACTGTCCACTCTGCCACAGTATTTGGTGCTGTCCAGTCACTTTGGCTGCTGACCACAGCCTCCTGAATCCATGAGCGACACATCCAGCAGTAGGGATGATAGCAGCACTGCCAATAAGGCCCCATACATAGTGTTCAAACACAGATCAGCATGCTCATTCATCCTGGGAGGGATTTGAGAAGTGCCAGTTCTCCCACAATAACCCCCCCAGGCCCATCCTCCCACCCCACCTGAGTCCACAAAGCAAGTCCACCACCATCACGGAGCCCCAACAGGCCTTTCTGCTCACTAATGATTTGTGAATGTGTCTACCTGCTTGTCTGTTTGTCTGTCTGTCATTGTTTACAAGATGTACCTGTCTCTTGCATTCATATGGTCTTTGTCTATGAGCAAGTACTGTTGTTTAATGTATTCATTTGAGATTTTGCTGTATTTAACAGAATTTCTATGTTTTCTAACCCATTCTTTTTATATAATTTAATTTATTATATTTATTTGAGGAGATTTCCTTAATGCCTTCTCAAGATATTGTATTGTAGGCTCCAGTGTGTGTATTTTTGTTACAGCACGAGTGTGTGTATGATAGCGTGGATGAGCAATCGACTGTAGTTTTCAATATGGTAGGGCACATACCTGTTGATGTGTGACTGTGTCAGTCTCGCTGTACCGGTTTAATTCATTTGGAATTTTTTGTGACACAGCTGAAATGATGATTGTGAATGGCCCATGGACACACACACACACACACACACACACACACACACACACACACACACATACACACACACATGGACCATCCTGGAAAAGCACTGACGTTCCACCTTAAAGGTCCAGATGACACTCAGTCTCACAAACGGCTAAATGACCCTTTTTTCTTTGTGAAGAGACTGTGATGAGTGTCGCTGTGTGTGCAATGTGCAGCTCACTCACTCTGACATACACACTCCACATAGATAACATGTACATTGACATTGTACAGACTATGTAAAAATAAGTATATAGAGTAACAAGAGCAGAAAAAGCACCATAAGTAACAGCGGAAATTGCTATGGACGTAAATGTAACGGGGGGGGGGGGGGGTTGTTTAATTTTTTTTTTTTCCTCCAAGTCTTGTTAAAGTGTAAATTTTCTTCATACTGATCGAGGTCTAAAAGTGGCAATTTAAATCCATCATGTCCACCCATAATCCATTCAAAGTGATTTTAAGCCCCGATATCTGTAACTGTCAGTCGCATGTATACTCCATAAAGAGGTGGTTTGTCTGGAGGACAAGTATGACTGTTAAGTTCTGGGCAAACCAGGGATTTGCAGAGAAGATTCTGTGATGTGTCGCTGAGATTATGTGTTGCATTAGTCAGCCATCAGTCTACAGTAGCTGCATCACCATCTGCAGCTGAACCATGCTGCAAACATTCTGTGCAAAGAGAGAGGCAGCTTTCTCTCAAACAGTAGGACCACTTGAGACCACCCACCTTTTTCTTAAGACTAAAAGTAGCTGCTACATGCAAGAAAAACATTATGCCAACGTCCTCCTGTCTTCATAAACCCTTTTTACACCAACGTGGAACAGCTTCCGTTTCGGTTCTCGCACCTAATTTTGTTTAGAGCATTTTGACAACAGCAGCAAAAAAGATTGGTTCAGACCCAGAAATGTAGGTTCCAAGCTGAAACCAAAAAATAGTTGTTTTTTTTAAATTCAGCTTTTATTGAAAATACAAAGTCAGATGTCATGGAGAGCAGAAATTTTCAGAAAGACAAGTGACAAGACTGAAATTGAACAGTAAGGAATAAAAAAACAAAACTAAGAGACAGCATTGAAAATCAAGTAGCAGAATATTACCAAATAGCAGGTTATAATGATGTATGGCCAGTATACTTTTCTTGTTATTAACATTCAAAAGACTTAATTTTTCAAAAATCTATTTAAAAATGTTTTAACAGGGGATGATTTTGCAGATTTGGATTTGTGTATATGAAATTTATCAAGCAGGATCAGGAGGTTTGTCTCAATGAAATTAACATTGCTTTCAAAGTAAAAAAGAACACCTTTGAGACTGAACTTCACAGAGTGACTGGTATTTCTTAAAATATAATATTAGGTTTTTTTTGTTAACCTGAAGTGCAAACCGTGATGACATCAGTGCACGTCACATTCTACAGGTTGGAACGAGAGGATGGAGAAGACAATAACGAACATTTAGCAAGAAATCATCGGTGGTCTCATTGATAGAACAAAAGGTAACAGGCAATCAATGGGTGCCATCTTGCTACTACAATTTACTTTCATTGTGCAACGCTCTCTATTGATGACACATCCTTGATTACAGTGGTTCTGATCAAAACTGGTGAAAACAAAGCGGCAACCAAATGAAGACAATGTGGAAGTGCCAAAAACTGCAGTTCATAAAATGTCCACTTGAGGATGGATCCAAAACAGAATCAATCCCCATAGACCTTCATGTCACTGTTAACATGTCTGACTTTACAGCAGAAATAACCATGTTTACAGTCTGGTACAAAAAACAGTTTTGGTCTCTATAACTAATTTCAACATTCATGACAACTGTCTTTGGGCAGGATCCCACACACATTTACATTTTATTAAGGCCCAAAGTTACACATATTTAAGGGCGGGGCTGTTTGAGTGACAGGCTGTCTGCGAGGCGTTGCTGCAAGCTGTAAGCCAGCTCCATCCTCTCGTCCAAATAAGGTCACTTCTGGCCCCACAAAACTAAGATGGTGATGGTCAAAGTGCCAAACTTGTCAGTCTATGGTGGAAACACAGGCTGGTTCCCTAGATAGCACCAAGGTTCCAAGAGTCCTGAATGGCTCCGGTTCAAGAACCAGAGCTCATTTGGCGGAAAAGGGGTAACAGTGGGACTGCCAGGTTTAAACGCTGTCCTAACTCTACACATCAGGCAGGTGACCCTCAGATGAGTTGGTGACTAGCTTACTAACTAACAAGATACAATGTGTGAAGTGCACTTACAAGTCAGTAAACCGGAGTCCTCAGATAGAGGATGGGAAGCTAACATTGAGCAGACTATCCTGTACCACTGCAGCTGTCAACATGCTCAGCTGATTTGAGTTTTTAATCTTCGAGAAACTTTAAAAAGGGCATAAAGTTCAGTTAAAGTCAGCCAGCTTCTTGCCAGGAACTGCAAGTGGAAAATAGCAATTTGCTAAAATCTGCTGCATTACATCTGTCCGTGTTTTATGTGAGGTTAACGTTCTTTGTACTTTGTCCCTGTTCAAATAAACACATGCAAGCTTCTAAGACAAAATCATCAGAACAAACTTGTCCCTCATTTGACAACTGACTTCTTAATGGAGTATGAATATGGCCAAATGTTTTTTATTTGATTTCCTGTAAAATCACAGTAAATGAGAAGCCTTGGAGATAGCCTGGCCAGGCTGAAATGTTGCGGTAGTGTGTATGAGTGTGTAAGTGGTGTGTGTTTGTGAGAGTGTCCTTGTTTTATGTACGAGATGGTTGTAGATAGACCCAACAAATCAACCGATAAGCATGCAGACATGGGGTCTGAATTTACTAAAATATGAGAATATACAAGGAAAACAAACTGAATTTACATAAACTAATTGTGACAGTATTTAGCTTTAAAAATCCACTAAGGACAAGATTAAGGTCTTTTAATCTGTTTTTCTGATTTGTTTTTTTTTTCTACTTGGTTCCTACTAATGATGATTTGGTAGTCAGTGTCGATGCTGTTCGTCTAATGTAAAGAAAATGACAATGAAGAGAAGGTGTGAGATAGCTGCTGTGAAACTGCTCTTCACTTTGACGTCAGTCCTCCAGGTTTTTCAGTTGTATCTTAATGTCCACTGTCACTCACACTTGTCCAAGGGACGACTCTGGAAGTGTAACGGACGTTGGTTTAATAAATGATTCAAATGTCAAACTAATGGGAGACTCTTTTATTTCCAACTCTGACACTGTGCACTGTGATACAAGAGAACAAATTAAAGGTTACATTTCATGAATGTAAAATACATAGAAGTCATGAAATATGTCACACAACTAATTGCAAAACTAATGTACACTGATCAGCATAAATATTAAAACCACTGGCAGGTGAGGTGAGTAACATTGATCATCTTGTTACAGTGCAATGTTCTGCTGGGAAACCTTGGGTCCTGATGCTCATGTGGATGCAACTCGACACACTCCACCCATCCAAACACTTTTACCCCCCCCATGGCAACGGCACTCCCCGATGCCACTGACCCCCCCAGCAGGACAATGTGCCATGCTGGTCAGCAATGGCCTGAGGAACATGGCAAAGAGCTTGAGGTGTTGACCGTCCAATGCCCCAGATCCCAGTCCACTGGTACATTCTTGGGATTTGCTGGTACCCTACCTCACAACCCACAAGATTCAAAGAATCTGCCACCAATGCTCCAATGCCAGATTCCACAGGACACCCACAGAGATCCTGTTTCCATGCCTATACAGGTCAGAGACAAGTGTGATCTAAGGAGGCCCCACTGTGGATCAGGGGTATATCTGGGGTACCCACATGCCTCATGAACGCTCAATCAGATCACTTCACCTGTCAGTGGTTTTAATATTTGGCTGATCAATGTATTTTCTACCATAACTGTTATCATAAAACCAAAATTTCAATAAATTAAGAACATGTAAAAGCACTTCTACAGCTTCATCCACTTCTCTGCTTTTCATCTCATTGCTCAGTACAGTGTGTACACACACACACACACACACACACACACACACACATACTGTTTAGAATTATATTGCATCAAATGGAAAGTGGGGGTGAGTCATGCTGCAGGTGTGGTTCAAGAAACCTCTAAAACTCAATTAACACCTGTCATTGGAATCTGCGATTGTCTGAACTGAATTCAAACAGTCTTCTGTTCAAGAGAAAATGACAAACTTTTCATAAAGGGCTAACTTTTAACAGCCACCTTTCACTTCATCAGGGAGTGTTTGTTCACATATTACTGATGTAGTCTGCCATTGTGTCAGTGGAATTCCATCCTTCCACCAGCAGATCACAGAATGGGCGGAGCCTCTTCAGTGCAGTGTTCCATGTGTCGGGGTCTCGATCCCCTGGGTTTTTCCTGAGGTCAAGGGTCAAGCGGTGTGGTGGATGGTGTGTCCTTAATCTCTTAGCAAACTCCAGCAGCTCAGCAGGCTGAATGAAATTGGAGCTGTTCAGGGCAAAAACGCAGCACATGGAACTTATGATATAATGTCGGTAAAAAAACATTCGATATAGACTGAATACCATGTGGATGCCACTTGACACACTCCACCCACCCAAACACGTTTACAGACCAAGAACACCCCCTTATGGCAAGAGGAATGTGAACAAGAGCTAAAGGTGTCAACTGAGCGTCAATATTAGCCAGATCTCCCTCTGATTGAGGGAGCGTACTTGGTCTGCAAGCGGTGTTTGGGTGGGTGGTGCATGTCAAGTCGCATCCATGTGAATGCCAGGATCCAAGGTTTCCCAGTAGAACATTATACTGTAATGGGATGACCAGTGGACATCTCTCATCTTTCTGTAGAGATGTGCTGGTCATTCACTTCACTTGTCACTGGTTTTAATGTTTTGGCTGAGCACTTTATATTAGGCTATCTATATTATATCTGTTTGTATGAAACTTCCCAAAACGATCACTTTAAAAGTGCTGCCTAACCAAATGATTTGAACAGTGCATGGTTATTATAGGATTTGTGTTTTGGGTTTGGGCTATGGGTCTTGTCTTGGCGGGTCGGTCTGCTGTAGTAATTGATCATATGTGTGGGTGGTGGGGATGGTGTGGTATTGGATGTCATGGTGCCAGTTCAGGAGCAGGTCTTCATAATCAGACCTGTGCAATACAAATACAATAAAAGCATGCTAAGCTCTTCAGTCACAACAACATGTAGAAGATTTTAACTTTAACATCAGGACAGGAGCCTACGTGCTGAGTCTTTACTGTATCCCAGCTGACTTGGAAATGACTGAAATGCTATTTGACCCATTGGTACATCAGCTAATAACTAAGACTTCTTATCTAGACCACTGTCTGCAGCTCTCACCTGATGTCAAGCCGTTTCACTGAGCTTGGTGAGGATCCTGAGAACAGTTCTGCCAGCACACACACGTTTCTAGCTGTTGACACACACAGTCATATTAATACACAATTGAAACATTTGCTTTCGAAGTTACTCATGATTTAGACATACACCAATAGCACAGATAAAAGTAGGGCTGTACAGAATAGTTTGAAGCTTCATTCATAACACTGACATTCAAATCCTAAATCAGCAGTGAAATGCTGCACAGCTTTTTTTTTTTTTTTGCATTTCTCTTCATCCTGCTAAACCTTGTATTCCTGCTTAGCTGCAGATAATAATTAGGTTAATCTCATATTGTGACTTCTTTACTAATTGTAGAATTTAAAGCTGTGTCAGTGTCGCGCTTGCTTGATGACAGCATTCATGCTGATACTGGAACGACTGTCCAACAGTTTGGTCCTGCCATGAATTTCAGAGCATCATGCAACAAAAGGAGCAGCCAAACATTCTGTGCAGTGTGCACTTTATATATTCCTGATCTGTTTTCCATCAACACTGATGCAAATGCTTTTGTTATAAGAGTAGCATGAGTGTCTGGTTTAGCAACAAAGACAAAGTGACTGAAGTTGTCTAGTAGTAGTGAATGTACAGTGTAGATTACAGTTTGTCCATCAATAAACACTCCAGCTCCTCAAACCCAAGAAGTTCCTGTGTCTTGCTTCCAAGTTGCTGGGCAAAAATGAACGGAGAGTCTGGGATTACAAACTGGAACAGAGTGTGCTGCTTTCTGACTCTGTCCAGAGGCATATATCAATATATTTATTCAGTGCCTTTTCATTGGGCATCAACCTTGCATTTACACATGTATTGTTGAAAAAAATAGACTCAAAGTATAAATAAACACTTGAGGTCGCAGTTACACCTGTGAGAAGCAGTTGAGATGTGAGCCTGCACAAAGCCAGAAAATGAGAGCGCATCTGTTTTGTAACAAAAAAACCCTAATCCAATCCAATGAATCAATTCATTCAAATTGCAGATTTTGTCCAGAGAGGTTTTTTTTAAGGGTGATGACATCGTAATTATGGCAACAGAGATTCTAAGTGTAATGGAGTTAAAAATGCACTTTATTAATTATTATTTCCAATTTGTATTTTTTAAATTTAATTTATCATTTTATTATTATTTTGACTATTTGTGAATTTTATCTCAAATAGTTATTTTCATTTACTATCTTTTTATTAATTTTTTCCTGTGGAAATGACTTTCCTGCACTCTGCCCTTTCCGTACCTCCTGGGCTTCTGTAGCCCCTCCATCCTGCCGTCATAGTAGTGATGGGAATTCCGTCTCTTTTTAGAGATCCGGTTCTTTTGGCTCTGTTCACTAAAAAGAGACGGCTCTTTCGGTTCCCAAGTGGCTCCTCAGATTTTTGTTGCTTAAATTAATTTATTACCAACAATCACGTAAAATCATGTGTAAAATAAATTACTAATGTAAAAAAAA